TGCTGTCTGAGCCATAGCAACCTCTCATCTGGGTGGATTTGCACTGCAGAGGGGTGACGGGTCTTGGGGCATCTTTGGTGCTATGAGCCAACATGCAGATGTAGGCATTTACAATGTGAACCCGCTGTCTAAGCTCCCACGGTGGTCACCAGTGATCTAGCTGGGACAGTCATGGGAGTGGTTCAGGTTACTCTGAGGCAGAGAGACCTTCAGTTGACTGAATCAATCTCTGGCCACAATTTGCCACAAACCTAGGGGCTCATTTATTTTCTCATGTCCAGGGTCGTGTGACATTTAAGACACTATATGTCATTTCAGCTGACCTTCAGCTCTGCTCCAGAAGAGCATGGGTGTCTTGGAGGTCTTGTGACATACCTGCCACCTCATGTAAATGTCACAGCCACCACAAGGTGCCTTAGAGGGCACCTGGGTTTAGAGAACATGCCCCAGACCTCTTAATCTACATGCTGGACCCTTGGGTCTCAATGAGCGTGTGTCAGGGAAGACATGCTGTTTATCCTCTTTTGCAAACACTTTATTCCTTTCTAAGTGTTTCCTTCTGACTGCCTGATATTCTGATCTGCTTAAGATGTGCCAGCAGGAAGTTGGTAAACTGGTTTCCCTATTGCCTACAAAGAGATATGCCATTCCCCTGTTAGTACATAGCACAGTCAATACCCACTGGCAGCTTCTTGATGCCCAGACCTTGGGTGTCCCTGCTCACTGCAAAGAGATGATGTAGGGCCTGGGAATCCAGGGACACCTGAATGCCTGCCAGGACGGAGGGGTTTGCGGTGATGCTTGCTTTAGCAACGCTGGGAAAACCAACCAAGTATCTTCATACAGGAGACAAGGGATTGGTGGTTAAAGTGTAAAATGCTATCCCAAAGTGTAAAACGCTATCCCAAAATGGCTTCCCCTCCCTTGTTCAAATTCAAGTGCATACTAGAATAAATAAAAATAATAAAGAACAACCCACAAATTGAGCAATGAAACAGGGAAAAAAAGGGAACAGCAATTTGAAAAGTGCTGATGAAATGCTGAAACAAAACATCGATGAAAGGGGAAGTGAGATCCCTCATGACTGCTACCCAGGAATGTGTCCTTCTCTCCCCAGGCACCTCCCTTCAGTGTGAGGTTTGTCACAGCATAGGAAAAAGCTGCTCTGGCCCTATGAAAACCTGTAGTGGTGGTGAAGATACCTGCGGCATCATTCTGCATGAGGTCATGATAGGTAGGTGAGATATCCACTATGACTCTGTGCCAGTGCGGCTTTCAGAGTGGGGCTGGGGGCCGGGTCTCTCTCCACACCTCTGTCACTGTCCTTTTGGTGAGTCCTTGGATAAGGTGTTCATGTTCCATTTCACTGACAGAGGACCCAGAGATCAGGGTGGGCCAGGATAGGAAAAGCTCTCTATTCCTCTATCTCAAGCAGCAGCTTCCTGCGATGCCTGGCTAAGGTGAGCAGCTGGGTTGAGAGGCTGGACTGTGAGGGACACAAGGCTGCTGGCATCTAGCACTGAGGGTGCACTGGCCATGGGTGGAGGGAGAAACTGGCCTGCATCTGACTGCTGTCCTCAAGCAGGGAAGAGGACACCAGGCAGCCTCATGGCACCACCAGGACTGAGCTGTCACCATGTCCCAATGGTTGATAAGCCAAAGATGGCTGCTGAGCCCTGACACAACTGCACGCTTGGGTGTGTTAGTGACATGGCCTTGGTTATTGCCCAGCTTCAGTGATGGGACTGTTGGTTTATAGACTGGAGGTTATCTCATATCCTACCACCTTTGGTGCTAGCAGCTCTAATGCATGTCTTCCCTCTGCTTGTGCAAAGCCACCTTTCCTCCTCACAGCGCTGGCGGGGCCTCAGTAGACTGCAACATAACTGATCCACCCCCTATTATACCCTTTGGGTTTAGTTCACAGGAAAGACTAGACTTGTCTTGTCTGTTAGCGTGCTTGCGGCTATGATAGACTGTGTGCTCTGCAGACTGTGCATGAAGAAGTGTGGGTCAGAGGTGCGTGGGCCACCCCACAAGCTCTGTGGCTGGGGCATTCTGGCAGAGGTGAACATGTGCAACAAGTCCAGCTGGCTGTGTCCTGCCTTTAAGCACAACATGGAGAAGGAGAAATTCCTCACTAGTACTCCAGATGTGATGGCACCCTCGTTCCTTTGACGTGATCATCAGGATCACTGGCGCTGCTTCTGGGGTGGCTTCACTGTCCCCAGATCCTTCTCAGGCCCCAGGACAGCTGCTTAGCAGCTGCTGCTGTAGGAACTAATGGGAGAGGAAGGGAATTACCCTGTGGTTAATGACTTGGTGCTGCCTTCATCTTAATTACAGGGGGGATGGCAATCCCTTCGTCCATCAAGTCCTGCCTGCCATCCAGCATTTGCCAGCTTGGTCCTATCACCATGAACTATGGGAAGGTAAAAGCAAGGAGCCACTTGGCTTGCTGCATGGGCAACGACTGTCAAACAATCTCCGTCTCATGTAAGCTCCCTTTCTCCTTATAGTCCTGCCTGCCCCAACCTGAGGTGAGGCTTTCCAGGCTAAGCCATCACCTGGATTGTTCCTCTCCTTCCCTCATTAAACCCAGTTATGGCCTATCTCTTTCATTCCAGTGCCACCAGAGGACAACGTGCCCAATGGGTACCAGTGTCCTGCCTGCTACAGCGTGGACTCCTTCCAGTGTGGTAATGAAATCGTAAACTGCACTGGATCTGAAACCCAGTGTGTTGACCTTGCTGGGTTAATGAATTCTGGTAATTGCCTTTTATTTGGTGCTGTCTTTCATCTTTTTTGGTTAAATGGGTGAAGCATCACAGAGAACTAAAAATGGGCAAAAAGTGTAAAGGAAAAAAAGAGGAAGAGACATGGAACTGAAAGGAAATATGCTTAAAGCTGATAAAAGGGCAGGGGTGGGTTTTTCTTTCTCCTTCCCCATCACGCATGGGTAACCATTGGGATTCCTCATAGCGGGACATAGCGGAGGTTAAGAGCTGACCTGGACTCGTGAAGCAATCTGATACACGGGCATGTGATAAATCTGATCAAGACCCTGAACCTGCTGTCCATAGCTAGGACACATGAGGATGACTTTGGATCTAAGACAGCGGCCTACTTAGTGGAGGTTCAGGTGAAACTAATACAGAGCTATTGGTTTTCTCATGAGGTGACACTGGCCATGGGGGACAAGTCACTGTTTGTTGTAGCGGTGCCTCTGCCCTTAGAGACCCAGGGACAGGTCTCTCCCCATGGACGCTGCAGCTGAGCCTATGGTGTCCCCAAAGATCTTCTCTGTGAGGGAGCTCCAGCCTTTGAACAGCTGGGATGACCAAGAGCACATAATGCTTTCCTTCAGAAATCTTTTTCCCACTTCAGGAGCTGTAATTAGAGAGAGGGAAGTAGATAGCTATCTCCCTGGTCACCCCCCTTTCCTCCCCTGCTGCAGGTAAAAGACTTCCACGTTCCATGGCAGTCTCACCTGTGCTCCAGCAGGCAGGAAAAAAAAATGTGGAAATTAAGGGCAGTGGCATCTGTTGTAAAAGCAGACTGGAAAGAAAATTACCTTGTGTATGGTTATGGATGAAGTTTCTCTGAGTTGATAACATTCCCAGTTGATATGATGCTTGAAGGTCTTTGCTATACACTTTACAGACATATTGTCCAAACCCTGAATTAGAAGCTGTTTCACAGAGACAACATGAAGAAAAACAAGCATTTTCTTAGTCACAGCAATGGAAATAGAGTGGTGCAATTAATTCAGTGTACCACTGAAATAAAAAATGCTCCCAACTTGTCTTGACTCGATTGATGGGCCACTGTAAATAGAGGAGACCTGTGTGGTGTGATGAGCTGTGTGAAGGAAGCAGAGGTGTAGGGGAGCGAAGGAAGGTGAGGAACTAATTAAGTGCCCTTATACATTATTTGTATTTGAGATAGAACCGTCCTGCAGAATATTCCAGATCTCCATAGCCTGTGCAGCAGAGAAACACGGGCAGTGTGAGCAAAAGCAAGAAATGGGAGCAAGAATATCAGAATGGGGAGTCAGGCACCCAGCCCCTTCTCAGGTCTTCTTCTAAGGTAGATGCTCCAGTGTTGATAAAGGGCAAGTTCAGGTTTCAGGCTCTCCCTCAGTGGCCATGTGAGCAGGGTTGCTCTGTTGGTTTGGCTAAATCCTGTAAGGCCTTAGAGAATGGCCTTAGCTGGCTGTGTGACAGGACTCAGAGGGTTGTGATCAGTGGCATGAAGTCTAGTTGGAGGCCTGTAACCAGTGGTGACCCCCAGGGGTCGATACTTGGTCCAATTTTGTTTAATATATTCATTAATGACCTGAATGAGGGGACAGAGTGTATCCTCAGCAAGTTTGCTGATAATACCAAACTGGAGGGGTGGCTGACTCTCCAGAGGGCCGCGCTGCCATCCAGCGTGACCTGGACAGGCTGGAAAGCTGGGCAGAGAGGAACCTAATGAGGTTCCACATAAGCAAGTGCAGGGTCCTGCACCTGGGGAGGAAGAATGCTAGGCACCAGTATAGGTTAGGGGTGGACCTGCTGGGAAGCAGCTCTGAGGAGAAGGATTTGGGGATCCTGGTAGATAGTAAATTGTCAATGAGCCAGCAGTGTGCCCTTGCTGCCAAAAAGGCCAATGGAATCCTGGGCTGCATAGGGAAGAGTGTGACCAGTAGGTCGAGGGAGGTCATTCTCCCCCTCTACTCGGCACTGGTGAGGCCACAACTGGAATACTGTGTCCAGTTTTGGGCTCCCCAGTTCAAGAGGGACAGGGAACTGCTGGAGAGAGTCCAGCGAAGGGCAACCAAGATGATTGAGGGATTGGAGCATCTCCCTTATGAGAAAAGGCTGAGAGAGCTGGGACTCTTTAGCCTGGAGAAAAGAAGGCTGAGGGGAGACCTTATTACTACTTACAAATATCTAAAGGGTGGGTTGAAGGAGGATGGAGCCAGACTCTTCTCGGTGGTTCCCAGTGACAGGACGAGGGGCAATGGGCACAAGTTGGAACATAGGAAGTTCCGTTCCAACACACGGAAAAACTTCTTTACAGTTCGGGTGACAGAGCACTGGCACAGGCTGCCCAGGGAGGGGGTGGAGTCTCCTTCTCTGGAGATTTTCAAAACCCACCTGGATACAGTCCTGAGTAATGTGCTCCAGGCAATCCTGCTTTAGCAGGGGAGTTGGACTAGATGATCTCTAGAGGTCCCTTCCAACTCTGAAAATTCTGTGATTCTGTGAATAAATGTCTCGGCCTGTAATGTCTTTGAGACTTCTCACTCCTATATCAAATTCAGCTGAGAGATAATCATGCAGTTCAAATGTCATGAGAGGGTGAGAGAGAGGAGATGATGAACACCTGGAGTACTCTCACACAGCCCTGGTTTCTTTAGGAAGCTAGGCAAAGTTTGAACAGAATAATCGTTAAATGAGAGAAAGAAAACTATTCAAAAGCTTTTTAATTTTTAAAATTAAAATGTTTAGATTTTTTAAAAATTGTATTTATTCATCAGAAAGAAAGGACAAGCCCTAAACCCTTTGTATTTCAAGTCCACCAGGGTGACCTTCTTGCTTCAAATTCATTCAGGGGATGGGAACAGACAGGAATACGTTGGTGGGTTTGGAGACAACTGGACATAATAATGGGTAGTTCTTGGGGTGAAAAGGAGGAGCTCATTGGCCAGGGAGGGAATAGCTATGGAGGCTGGTTCCCCTGACGTCAGGCATGCACTTCTTCTCCTGTGTAGGTGGACTGTCTCTGAAAGCTGCCATGAAGGGGTGCACCACCATTTCTGAATGCAGTATTGTAGGAGATGGAAAAAACAATCTGGGGATGATGGACATAAAGTTAAGGCGGTTCCAATGCAAACCAGCTTCTGTTTTGGCCAGACTGAGTTCGGGGTTTGCCCCTCCAGATACCCTCTTCCTCCCTGTCCTGTCAGGGTTCATCTTGGAGAAGATCCTTTTCTGACTTTCTCTAGTACATGGGCAAAGCTCCAGCAGTGGTTTGCACTGAGTCCTGTTTGCTGTGGCTTCGCCTGTGTGTGGAGTTTGTTTTGAGATTAGCTTTTCTTCTTTTTTCTTCTTTTATAATTTCACAGAATAAAGACAATACTTAAACATCTTTTGTTTCCTCATTGATTTAATCTGAATTAAATCTTCATAGGTTCAATTGGGGTTGGTTTCCTGTTGCATTCTCTGAGTGCTTTGTCCACACTGGGACCAGAGGAGACTGTATAAGGTGCCCACCCACTGCACAGGCAATGGGAGCTCTCAAGAAAGACTTAGAGTCTACATACACTATCTCAGGATAAGTGATAGGTTTCAAAGACACTTTTTCAGGCTCTGTAAAGGACCAGAGGTGAGTTCCTGACAGGTTCACTCTGATTAGCAAAGTAGCTTGCCATTTTTTCCCTCCCCTGTATCCTATTTGTCCATGAGTCCCTCGGCTCAGAGGGCTGTGTGTGACCTGTGAGCAGCCCTGAAGTAGTCTACATTTCAGAGATGAGCCAGAGACCCTTTGCCACAAGCAAACTGCTCCTGGCAAGAGCTTTTCTCCTTATGGTTGCTCTTCATGTCTTACCGGACACTATCCTATTCTGTCTTAGGTTTCATGATTATCTGAAATAAATGCTTACCTTAGGGAGGTTTCATTTCATAAAATAGGAAGTTTTCTATGGTGACAGACTGCTGGGAGCCTGAGTAGTGGACAGCTGTAGCCCAATGCCTGTTTCTCTTCTGCTGGCCAAACAATCCTTGTAGGTGGTGTAGCCTCCCCTCTTCTACGTTCACCACCACCCGGCTGTTCTGCTTCAGCCACTGCCTGCTCTAATGGGTCTTCTCAGGTTGGTCCCACACAAAAGCACTGAAGAAAACCAGCACGTCAGGCAGCATCACCTTACCTGGAAGGCAGTATTGGCTGTGGACAAAAGGGTAAAGCAACGTGAGCTCTGGCAGATGCTGGGCTGTGGAGTGTTCGGAGGGGTCTCAGCAAACGTCAACATTTCACTATCCATATGTCCCTAAGTGAGTGGCCCATTTTTTGTGCTGAGTACAGGATTATTAAGTGAAGCGCATAAATTTGTCAGTCCTTGATTGCCCTGCCTCAGAGTGCAAGTGTGCAGTACTATGTACATGGAGTTACAGTGATCAAGCAATGCAATTTTGTCTCCTAGTTCAATGCTGTGGCAGAAAGCACTATGGAAAGCCTTGCTTGCTGAAACCAGACCATAACGTGTGGCAATACTGAGATGACTACGCCTACATATATATGCATGGATACATACATGATCAGCTTTTAACTTGCAGCATGGGGACTGAATGTTCTTGTAATTTCTGTCTCCTCTAGACTTTCTCTGCTTCCCAAACAAGCTGAAACTCCTTTCTTCTTAACATTCCCACCAAATTATTTGGGAGAGAATTTCACATTATCTATTATAATAAAGGGGTGTGGGTCTGAGAGTGAAAATTAATTTCTGGGGTGGGGAGTGAACTGATAATACAGATTTAATGCAGGTACGAGAGTCTGGTTAGACCCAGTTAATTATTTGCAGAGGCTGTGAAATTACAGTATGGATGTTAGAGAGGGAATACAGCTCCCCCTTCATGGTGTAGCAATAGACTGTTACTGCACTCATTCAGCATTTTTCCAGATCTGATAACACCCTGGAATTAAAAAAATTCTCTATCTATGCAAGTACATTATCCCTGAACACATCTCCTGCACATTCATGCAGAACATTACATTACTGTCCCTGGTACCCCCATGGCAAATCTCGATGTGCTTCAATGGCTCAACCCTTCACTTTCTGTTTGTTCCACTTTGACCTGTGATGTTATCAGGATGAGAAAGCTAAATGGGTTTGTTCAGCCTGGTCAAGACTTGGGTGAGACACGTCCAGAGAACCATGGGGCTGGGGTGGTATTTAGAATCATAGAATGGTTTAGGTTGGAAAGGACCTTGAAGATCATCGAGTTCCAACCCTCTCTGGGCAACCTGTCCCAGTGCCTTACCACCCTTAAAGTGAAAAACTTCTTCCTAATGTTTAATCTAAACCTGCCCTCTTCAAGTTTAAAGCCATTCCCCCTCATCCTATCACTACATGCCCTAGTAAAAAGTCCTTCCCCAGCTCTCCTGTAGGCCCCTTTAGGTACTGGAAGGCCACAATAAGATCTCCCCGGAGCCTCCTCTTCTCCAGGCTGAACAGCCCCATCTCTCTCAGCCTGTCCTCATAGGAGAGGTGCTCCAGCCCTCAGATCATCCTTGTGGCTCTCCTCTGGACACGCTCCAGCAGGTCCATGTCCTTCTTACTCCAGAGTTGGATGCAGTACTCCAGTTGGGGTCTCACGAGAGTGAAGTAGAGGGGCAAAGGAGGGTGGACAAGGAGGAGGAGAGCAGACAGCAATGTTTCTGACGAAGGTTTGTGGTGCAGAGAGGAGAAGCAGATCAATTTTGACCTCTAACTCAGTGCTGTGGCAAAGAAAGCTGTTGCAATCTGTGGCTGTATAAATGGGGGAGTGACGAGTAGAAACAACCCTGCATCTTTATGATGGATACACAGGTGCTTGGTCCTGTTCCAGCATCCACATTTTGTAAAGGCTTTTAAAAATGGAAAGCATGAAATAAAATGCCTTACATTGAAGTCTTCAAGAGCCTGTGATCTTACTGAAATGAAGGTAAAGAGGTGGCTTGTTTACAGGCTATAAACACACTTATATGGAAACAGTAAGATCTTAAAGGGGTCTTTTATACATGAAAGCTCAGCAGAAACCTGACAAATCCAAATGAGAAGTCACACCATCACGGTGCACAGACTGCAGCCATTAGAGCAAAGAGGTCATCAGCTTTTGATGTCTGCAAATCCAGCATGTAGGTCTTTCAGACATGGATGCTTTAGTGGCAGACAGGTTATAGGCAGTTCAGGCAGAGAAACGTGATAGACCAGGGCATGGAGGAAGGTGAGGAGATGATGAGCCCTTCTGATCTCAAACCTGGCTCCTGGGAAGGGAGATGATGCTGGAGTGTGTTTAGATAAAAGCAACACAAAAGATGAAAAGAAACCTGGTGGCGCCAATTTACAAAATGAAATCAAACAATGGGATCTCTGTGTCTTAAGCAAGGAGCAATGAATGAGCAACACTTGCCTCTGTGTATCTGCAGACTGTGAGCAACAGAGGAGGGGGCATCTCCAGCGATTCCTTGTAAAACAGCCTCCGTGGTGAACATGGGAAGCCCCATCGCCCGCAGGGTTTAATTGAGGATATGCAGCATGGAGCAGCCCTGAGCTCATAGGCATGTTGGGGGAGGGGCAAGGAGAGATGTGGCCAAAACCCATCACAGTAAATGGAATGACTTCTGCTGATTTTAATGGGCTTTGAACCGGGCCTTAGACACCAGACTGGGTTGTTTCCATCTGCAGTTTCTCCTTATACACAAACCCTACTCCCACACAGACGCACACATGCAGACATGTAAATACCAGATCCTCCTTTAGATCTTGCAGACACTTCAGCTACCAGGCATGTGAGTTACAGACGCTCACAGCGCCGGATGGCTGGATGTGGCTGTCCTTACCCGCGGTACCAACCACGTCAGCAACAGCTTTGATCTCCCCCTTTGCATAGTGAAGAGGACTCAGACCATTTTCTTGTCTCCTCAGATGGTGGAAAATTAGCTCTCTCCTGCCTTTCCTGCTCTCTCCTCCGAAGTTCTGATTCTTTCCCAAGGAGCAGAGCTGGCTAGAAAGCCTCGTGGCAGCCAGAAAACCTGTAGATGATCTGAGATAGGGAGATGGATGTGCAAGAACTTTGCTGAACAGGCTGGTGATTTTGTAGGGTGAGGGAAGGGGAGGATTTGAGCTGTCATTTGGTGGACACAGCCTCGAGCGCTGTGAGTGGACAGGTGAGGAGCAGGGCAGAAGAAGCTGGGGAGACGGGGATGTGTCTGTGTGCAGCTGTGTGCCATGCAAGGCAGTTCATATCAGATACTAAACCCCCTTTCCACCTTCTTCTCAGCATATCTGGAGCTGGGAACGGTTTCCTTCAACTTTTTGGGAAGCGTTCCTGCCCCCAGCAGTTTCACACCAGGAGCTCAGGACACTGGGACACAGTTTATCTGGCATGGGTTTTGCAAAGGAATGCAAGGTTGTTGCTGTGTTTCTTCTATATAATGACCAGAGCTCTTATAAGGAAGTTTGTCCAGCACCCTGGGCCAGCAGGTCCAGTTGGTATTTTAGGGATTACACTTCTTCAAAGGCATAATGAAGACAAACTGAGTGAACAAGCAATCTTTCCTGCAGATAGGAATAACGCGTCCTGCTGCATGCTAGAGACTAAACAATTTTTTCTGCCTCTTTTGGGAGGGGCAGGACAGGCGACATCTGACTAAATGTGGGCTTCTGCAATGGGTAGGTATCTTGATCCAAGCGTATCATCAAACTCCTGGGGTGACTGAGTCACACAGTCCTTGGAGATGGGGTTCTTCAGTTCCAATTGCACTGCAGGTTCCCATTTGTACTGAGAGGCCCACCACTGACAGAGACACTTCCATTGTAAACATAGTGTTATGGGGAGATGATCCCATCCCCAGGCTCCTGTCTTTTCCTTTGAGAACATATTTTACCTTAAAGCTGTGGAGCACAGAGACCAAACGGTCCACAGCCCTCTGCACAAAGGAATAGGCTAACCTTGTGTCTAAAGCTTCATGTTCTCACCTCCTGACACCTTGTACACCTTTACTGGATGAAAACCCGTTGTTCCCAAAATTTCAGACCTATTTGCTCTTCTCTGGACTGCATATTGTGAAGAACAGCATTTGGTACCCATCTCTATTGCTGCCATATAGAAGAAGCATCTTTCCCTCCCTTTACATAGCTGAACTGTGGTAGACCACCTTGTTAGACTCATTGGAGCTCTCATGCAGATGAGTGAAGGAAAATAAAATTCACCCTGTAACTATTTTGGAATCACCTG